GGAAATAGTTCTAGATTTTTTTTTTTTCTGGAGATTTAATTCTGCCACAGAAGAGACACACCACTCACTCATTTTCCCCTAAACTCATCAATCCTAATCCCCTTCTGTTCATGCCCTATCTTCCCTGTCTTTTCCTTCTTGTTTGCCTCCCTGTCTATTAATCATATCTCATCTATATTTTTAATGACTCCACTGTGAAAAATAGTAACTTGGTTGAGCAAACAGATTAAGGAGTGGAGGTATACATGAGTGGGATGGGAAAGGATGGATAAGTAATAGAGCAAGCCCCACAATGTGAACTTGTGGTCAAAGAGTTAAGGAAAATATATTATTTTTCTCTTCTTGTCTGCCTCCTGCCTTCCTTCAAACCCAAAGCATGAGTCAAAGACTTCAATATCTTAGAGTACTATTTATCTTGCAACAGATAAGTTTAAAAACAGAGGTGTGGATAGCAGTTTGTGAGTAAGTACGATAATCCTGGTGGTAGAAATAATGGAGTAGTTGCGTTGAGTCTGGAAATAAGTGGTGGGATTCTGGGTATATTTTGAAGAAAAAGGCAAGGCTTTCTGAGAAGTTGGACAAAGAGTCACAGACAACATTAAATGGACCTGCCATAATCTGGGGTAGGGAAGAGTGACAAGGAGCTGGGTGTTGAAAGTGGGGAGCAGATTTCAGGCTCAGTTTGGGACGTGTGAAGCTAGAGCTGTTAATAGGAGAGCTTTTGTTTTCATTGGAGTTGAGGGGGAAAGTCCAGGCTAGAGATGGAGATTTGGAAATCATTAGTGCAACATGGATATTTACTTAGAAGAGACATATAGATAAAAGGGTTCCAAGAACTGAGTCTTGAAGCAAGCCAAAAAGAGGATAGGAAAATAAAGAGGACCAGCAAAAATGGACAGGGGCAAATATATACTCAGAAATATATAAGTCCTTGTTTTAATTGTATTTTGGTTAGCAATTAGAGCTTATGATTTGAATGTTACTTCATTATGTGCTTTATATTTTTTTTAGCAACTCCAAAATACGATATGGCTAGTAACAACATACACACACAGAACATGTGAGGATGGGGGTGTGGATGTGCATTCTAATGAAAATAATACCAAATATATTCAATTACTTAAATAAATATATTACATATATAGTACACTTTAATACACTCATCAATAGAAAAAATATTTTAAAACTAATTTAAATTTTTATTATCTGTGATTTGTAATACTATTTATATTCTATAAAATATTTTGTCCAAGCAAATATTTGGTCTTTCTTCCAGAGTCGTCTGATTAATAGTTGACTCAAGTGTTTGGATCCAGTTTAAATTTCATACTACTATAAAATGAGTTTAGCTATATTCTTTTTACCTAGATAATTAAATTATACTTATTACTTTCCATTTAAGAAGCTATAACTGTTAAAATATATGACATGTTTAAAGAGTAAGTCACTGAATAGGTAGATACAATTTATACTTAAAATTACTTTGTGAGTGATTATTTTTTTTTCATACCATACTATTTCATGTTTTCATCCTGACACCAACGTTGGCTTTTATTATGGAAAATGAATCTTTCAGCCTCACTAGGTGAGGTGCTCATCGTTAAAAAGACTTCAACAAAACAACTAATGCCGGCTACATAACTCTGCTCCAAAGAGATTGAATTAGAAGCAAGAGGCAGGAGTTAGGATTATGTCCCATTATGGTGATTGAAGAATGTATTGGGGAGAAGAAAGTGAATATATTGGGAGGAAATAGATGAAATGATGATGAAAAAAACTATGAGAGTAAACACTGGTATGAGAAAGGAACCAAAGCAACGTGTGTGAATAAGATGGGATGTAAAAGTAGCCTTGTAAAAGGTACTAAGAATATTAGAATACCTTAAGAAGGAAATGTTTTCAGAGTCCTTGTGTAGCGTGATCAACAGTTTAGAGGGGATCTCAGTCAAAACAATGACAGGGAGTCTCTAAAGATGCTCCACTGTCTCCCTGCATCGGGATCTCAGGTGGTGCTTATCACAAAGCCTACAGCCTACTAAAGCAGAATCTCTTGATGTTGCCAAGGAATTTGCATTTTTTCCATAAACATTGAGGTCCTGTCCTCAGCCCAAAGGGAATCTTACTATGACTGCTAAAATTTGAGCACCATTCAACTAGGGCATAAATAAAGAACACGTGCAGAAAAAATCTTAGAACTGTGTACATTAGAATAGAATGGGGCGGAGACTGTCAGGGAATTTGATAATGAAGATAGTAATATTCAGTAAAACAGTAACAGTGAACTTCTTGGAAAGAAGAATATGAGTAAAGGAGGAAGGCAATAGAGATGAAGTGAATAGAAGTGAGTGTATGAGAGGGCAGAAAAGACACATTCAGAAAGCAGTCAAATGAAAAGAGAGATGGAAGACCCCCAAGGCCATAGGCATTCTAGCTTTCCAAAGGCTAAGCCATGGGAAGCCTGTAAATAGCCATAAGAGGACACCAGGAAGTGACCTCTGATGCCAGAATAGCAGTCCTGCAAAAAGGGATCACCTAGCAGCTACCAGGTGGCTCTGCATTGGGTCTGTAAGTAGGTCCTGCTTTCTGCTCTCGGAGCTGCTGGGTATCAAACGTTGTTCAAATTCTGGTGACACATCTGTATCTTTAGAGAATCATTTTCTTTGCAAAAACAACATGAAGCCATTTGATTTATTAAAGTCTGTTATGGATTAAACTTTATATCCAGTCTGAGTTCATTATTTCTTTTCTAAAGTCGTTAGTATACTCCTGCATGAGATCTGTCTCAACCACTCAAGAAACCAGAAAGAGATATCAATAATTGACAAGGACTACTGATTCCTTTCCCCTCCTTGCAGTTGTTAGTTTTTATTTTATTTTATGTGTTTGTTTGTTTATTTATTTATTTTTTAGACAGCTTCTCACTCTGTCCTCAGGCTAGAGGGAGTGCCCTGATCTTGGCTCACTGCAACCTCCGCCTTCCAGGTTCAAGCAATTTTATTGCCTCAGCCTCCTGAGTAGCTGGGACTACAGGCGAGTGCCACCACTCCTGGCCGATTTTATATTTTTAAAGTAGAGATGGAGTTTCACAAAATTGGCCAGGCTGGTCTTGAACTCCTGACATCATGATATGCTGGCCTCGGCCTCCCAAAGTGCTGGGACCGCAGGCATGAGCCACCACATCCTATTATTTATTTACTTTAACTTACGTTATCATAGACGTAATAGGAAATTAAGGTATGTTTTATTTGAAGCCCTCACTTCTGACATTTAAAGTCCACAGGTAAAAAATTAAGAGCAAATCTTTTTAAGTCTCATAAACTAGAATGTGTTTCTTAGCCTTCAAAAACCTGATACCTTCATTGACTTCTTGTTCAATCTTCTGAATACCTCAAACCTCAAAGGTAATTTCTTTTAAATATTTTACTAAATAAATAAATAAAAGGAATATTCATTATATGTTTGCCAAAAAATATTGTTTCCTTAAAGCTTCTGTTCCCCTGAAAAATCACTAGTGTGAAAGGAATAGAACAGAGAATGCTTCCTAGATGTCAGTTTTCCTTAATGGTGTCTGAGGTTTCAAGATGAGAAATAAAATTATGGTATTTAAATAACTGAGCTGGTAAAAATGTGGCAGACATATGTCAGTAAATACTCAACATAGACTGCAAAGTTTTATTAAAAAAATGTCTTGACATTTTGGTATAATGAGATGTAAGCAAGTTTACATCAATCTTGTGAATGCACGAGCCATTCCTTCCCTCTTCTTTCGTTCTGGCAACTGTTTTGCTGTTTTGCCGCTTTCTTTCTGGCATGCCTCTTCCTAATGAAACTGATCAAAGATTCCTTCCCTCTAAAGAATCCCTACTCCCATAACATGCTAGATGATGATTGTAAAGTCAAAAATTCTCAAGCCTGTAATCCCCAAAGTCAATAATTCTCAAGCCTGTAATCCCAGCACTTTGGGAGGCCAAGAGGGGAGGATTGCTCGAGGCTAGGCATTCAAGACCAGTCTGTGTAAACATCACGAGACCCAGTCTATGAAAAATGTTTTTTAAAAATTTAGCCAGGTGTGGTGGCTCGTACCTGTAGTCCCAACTACTCAAGAGGCTGAGGTGGGAGGGTCACCGGAGACCAAGGGTTAGATGTTGCAGTGGGCTCTGATTGTGCCACTGTACTACAGCCTGGGTGACAGAGTGAGATTCTGTCTCTTAAAAAAAATAAAAGTCAGTAACTCTTTAGCTAATAATTAGTTTTAGATTTCTTTGTATGTTAAATGAAAAACCACAAGAACAAAATGTCTTGTGGTAAAATAACATCATGGAATAGCATTCTACTACTAATGTCCTTTTTCCATTAAATAAATTTGTTCATGTGCCCACTTGACATTAATTTTCTCCTCATTTCTCAGCTATTAAAATTTAGTCCTTCCTCACCCCTCAACCCCTCACCTAGTAACATGGGGGACAATTTAGGTAGTTGGTATTAAATGCTAACTCTATGCCAATCACAATTTTAGGCACTTGATGTGAATGGCTTCTAATGTTACCCACTTCATAAAATTAGATAATTATTCTCACTTTCCTGATGAGGAAGAAGGCTACCCAAGGTCACCCAGCTAGTTAGTGACAAGCCAGGATTTAAGTTGGCTTGAATATAACAGCTCATTTTCCCCACTGGCTTATGTGGCCTCAAGCTTATTGGAAATTAATAGTAATACTAATTTGACTTGACATGATCATGTCAAGTATTAGTATTACTCTTTCCAGTGTCTTAGCAAAGACAGTATTACTTTACCTAGTCTTAAAAAAAATTTTTGTCACCTTACATAAAAACTGTTAGTGCAATAATAAAAAACTCAGGACAGTTCTTATCTGATCTGTAGGAATGATCAGTAGGAAAGAGTGATACTTGGAGTTGTGTTTATCATTTGCCATCTGGTATTAAGGGCTGCACATTTGTTATGCTCTTTGTGTAATGTATTTTTATCTTTGTCATTGCAGTACTGGATACCAGTTTATTTACTATTCACCTGAAAACACAGCCAAAGCAAAAGAAGTTCTCAGCAACATCAATCAACTACAACCTCTTATAGCAACCCATGCAGACCTACTGCTTAATTCTGCAAGCCAGCATTCTCCAGACAGCTTGAAGAATTCTTTAAAGATGCTTTCAGAAAAAGTAAGATCCAAATCATCACTACAGTTGGGAAAATGAAATACTCAAATCCCCATTGGTATGACTTTCTGCATACATTGCCTTTCATTACATGCATTACATCCGGAAATGTAAAGTAGAGTAGGTTAAAAACTAAGCTTCAAAGTATTGCCACAGGATCAAAATGAATTGGTCTCATTCTCTGTTCAAATCTTACTGAGCACTCTTTTTTCTTAGTAGGAAATGAAACCTATTATTGGTTGGTATATATCTTCTCTTTTCCTTGGCATCTTTCATTTTCTTTGGTTTATGGTCTTATTAAGTGAATTAAATTAGATTTTGAAAATTACTTTATTTTCCTCTAGTGATCACCTAATTTTTATGCATATAAAGCTTTACATTTGAATAGGAATGCCACTGCATTGATGTGGATTTATATCAGTCTGTATTGGGTACTTCCTCTGCCTCAGTTCATTCTCTACATTATTTACTGAGAAAAGTTTCTAAAAATTTCCAAGTGCGTTAGTTATTTGAAAAGCAGTAGATTCTAAGCCTTAGTTTTTCCAAAGGTGACTTGTTCCTTTATCTACAGAAAGGATAGCTAGTCTGGCATGGTGTAGACACCCTATATCCACTTCCAGAACTAACTAGGGCAAGTAGCTGTGTGATAGACGGAGAGCCGAGATAGAAAAAGACAAGTGACAGCTTGATCTTCAACATAAAATCAGTGTCCTGGAGTAAAACCAATGTGTGCATCCTTAACCTTTGCATTTTAACGAGATCATGTAATTTTTTGTATGAGACACTTTCAATAAACATGACTTTGAAAAAACCGACCAAAGAAAATTATCATAATTGTAGAATAAGACAAAAGTGTAGTTTTCCACCTCTCTGAAGAACAAATTCATAGAAACCTGGATCTTATGTATGTCCATACTTTTTATTCAGGTGTGTTAATTTATAATAGTAATACCTTATACTTATTGAAATGTTTCAGTTTATACATTTTTATGTTATTTTTATAGGAGAAAGCATACCTATTTTGTGAAAAAATAGTTACTATCTATTCAGAAAGGCTTAGTAAATTGTCTAATAAATTTAAAAGTAAAGAAACAAACTCAGAACTTCCAGTTCAAAATACAGCATTCCTTCCATGCCAGAACACATGCTTCTATCATGAAGAAGGAGGAAAATATTGACCCAAATTTTACAAGTTCTTACTTTACATCAAATAGGGCAAGGGGCTTCATACTTTGTCATTTTATTTCATCAGTATTATGGAGAACATATTATCTTCTTTTCACATAGAAAAAGGCTAAATAAAGCTCAGAGAAATTTTAAAAATGTGAAGTCATGCAGAGTCAAATACAGGATTCAAACAAAACCAGGGTTCAAAACCAGGTCTGGATGACTCTAGAATGGAAGTTCTTTCTGTTCTTCAGAACACTTAAGTATTCTGATATTCAATAAGTATGTTTTTATGGCTAGAGGAAAAGAAAAAAAGAGGAGGTTGTTGCATACGTAAAATAATATAATTTTATTTTGGTTCATTTCTTTTTTGGATTTATAGATGAGGTGAGGTTTTCTGGGTTCACCTAAGCTGAAAATTTTAGCAAAAAGCATACCACTGCAGTGATTACAGAGCAGCATTTATATTCTTCTGTGCACTGGACAGGGATTTGTCATTTCATACACCATTTACAACTTGCTGCAGTGATGTCGGTGGTGGGGGGAGGTTAGGATGGCCATTTTCTTCTCCTTGAATCCCGCATTACTGCAACTTTTTCCCTATGTTTTCTCTTTTCTACTGAGTAGACATGCTTAGTCAACTAATAAATCTCTCAGTCCTTAAAACTAGGAGGATCTTTTTTTAAGTTAGGTTTGCAAGCCGTGAGTTATTTTAAGAATTCATGTCTGGAATTTGAAGGAATTATCTAAGTTAACAGTTTTGTATAGTCTATGAAAACTGTTAGTAGTTCATGGTTTAGAATAAAGTATGATTCTTGAATTCAGACATGAGAGAGAGATAGTTTTAGTGGTATCCTAAATTTCAATGCAATTTAACATTCGTGGGATGTAAGCTTTAAGAGTTTTGTCTTTAAGTTTTGGGCATGTTGTATACTATGGATTATAAAATAAAACTGTTTACTTCATGGGTAGTCCCCTGGTTTATTTTACTGATTCAGAACTGGCATGTTTGGAAAATAGGTACCTAGAGTTGTTTTCTTAGGGACTTATCCATATAGCATATTCAAGACATTAAGGAGTTATCTATATTCACACTTATCAGGGAAATGTGAAGGCTTTATAGACTTTGAGCACTTTAACATGGAAGTTTTCTGTTGTAGACTTGGGGCACTTGGGGAAGGCTGAGGGCAGCCCAGGGCAGTGAAGAAGGAGGTATTCTTTTTTGTGAAGAGATGACATCTCTTCTCTTAGGAAAGCCATTATACCGAGAGATAATAGCCATGAAATCATTATCAATTAAACATACACTCAGAGTCTGTGGGAAAAGCATGTGGGAACCGAAAAGCTCAACTTGCTAAGAGGGCATATTCCAGGAGTCTTTGAGTAGGCAATCTTTGTAGATCCAAAGGCAATCCACATCATCTTTCTGTTTTTTTTGTTTGTTTGTTTGTTTGTTTGTTTGTTTGTTTTTTTAATTGTACTTTAGGTTCTGGGGTACATGTGCAGATCATGCAGAATTGTTGCATAGGTACATACATGGCAATGTGTTTTGCTGCCATCATCCCCCTGTCACTTACATCTGGCATTTCTCCCATGTTATTCCTCTTGAACCTACCCACTCCTGCTGTCCCTCCCTTAGTACCCCCCAACAGACCCCACTTTGTGATGTTCCCCTTCCTGTGTTCATGTGTTCTCATTGTTCAACACCTGCCTATGAGTGAGAACATTCCATATTTGGTTTTCCATTCCTGTGTCAGTTTGCTGAGAATGATGGTTTCCAGATTCATTCATGTCCCTACAGAGAACATGAACTCATCCTTTTTTTATGGCTGCATAGTACTCTATGGTGTATATATGCCACATTTTCTTTGTCCAGTCCATCATTGATGGGCATTTGGGTTGGTTCCAGGTCTTTGCTATTGTAAGCAGTGCCACAATGAACATACGTGAATTCACATCATCTCTACTGCTACTGAGAACCAAGGCACAGGGATAGGGCCACCAGCCAAAATTCCACCCTATCTAAACCCCATTGGTAAAAACACACAACTTATAAATAGTAAAAATAAATCCTGAATTTATACTATTTGACAGATACGTACTCAACACAAAGGGTAGGAAAAAAACAAACAAACAAACAAACAAAAAAAAACACATGTCCTTATTCCCAGGAAGTCCAAGACTCTTGATAGTAGTGGTTGTGATGTTGTTGAAGTGATGGTAATAGCTAGCATTTATTACTGGCTTAATAACTGTGAGATACTCTTTAATTTTCAGAGTTCCATGTGATAGATAATATAATTTTAACATTAAATCTTCCTAATTCTATGAAGTATTGCCAGTAGCCTTGTTTTACACAGTTGAGGAAACTGATGCACAGAAATATTAAATAATTTGCTCGAAATCACACACTTTGTGTTTTTGGCTCCAGATTCTGTGAACTTGACCAGTATACTGCATCTTCAGATTGCTATATGGATGCTTGTGCATAGGACTAAGGAAACAAATGTGGGAGCAGGAAGAGGGTCCTACTAAAATTAAACAAAAATGAATACTTTTAATGTTCCATGTTCTAATATGCACAAACTCAATTAAATTGTGTCATAAGTTTTAAATTTTAGTATACCTTCTTTTGGATAATTGGGTTTGGCTGTTGCATATTAGTTTATGAAAATATTAAAGTGATAATATAATCTCATTGTGTAAGGGTCTAACAAAAGGCAAGCTGAGTTCATCTGAATAATTCTAACAAAAAAGATAAAAGAGAGACCAAAATTTTAACATACAGGATGAAAGGTTAATAATAGATTGAGATAAAAATGCATTTCCCTTTTTCTTGGACTAAAAGTATGCATTTCTATAAAGGAAAAACAAACGAGGGATAGATAAGATAAATTCAAACTAAAATAAATAATGTTTTTAAAGTCTCGAATGTGAGCAGTGTATAGGTATCTCTCATAGCTCAGAAATCTCTGTGATATTAGCATTCAAACACCCATCACTTTCTCTATTCCACTGAGATTGATAGACCTTGTTTAGAAAGTCATTATTATCTTGCTCATCAAAAGGCACTATTGAGCACTTAATTGTGTGTGGTATTGTACTTGATGCTATATGACAAATACTACATAGACATGGCTCTTAATTTTTACAACCTAAGAATTTAAAAGAATAGGGGTGTTTTACAGTATTGCAATTGCTAAATAGTTAAAATAATGGGTTTTATTACAAATATTAGAGGCTATACTCACAGCATATTTGAGAAATTCTCGTAGCTTCTAATTCCTACTATTCTTTCAACCTCAATATACTATACCAAAACATTCTATTATATTTAAAGGAAAATAAAAACTGTGTATTCTCCAACATATACAGTCAATATTTTCTCAAGAAATATTTTTCTGTAATAGCAATGCCAGGCAGCGAGTGTGCTAAGGAGTTGAAGCTACACATAACAGAGAGAAGAATGTTACGTTGATTACTTAAGACTGAAAATTATTATTCTTTTATTGTTTATTCAGTGTAGCCACTCCTAGGTCTAGCCCAGTCCCAAACTGTGGGAAAGAACTTAATAAGTAGAAATTTTGTTTGTTTTTTCAGTGTTGGCAAAGTATGTATTAGGAGTCTAAGACAACTTAATAAATAATTTCAATAAAAATGAAATTTCAGAATAGAGCTTACAGTTGCTGTTTTTCATAATTGCCTTTAAATGGTAATTATTTAATTGGTAAAATTTTTACAATCAACAAAGTTTGAGTTTAGTAGAAAATTGTATAATAAGAAAAAATAAGTAAAAGAATGTAAGATAGTAGTGATGATGAGACTACATATAAGAT